GGCGATTTCGCCCCCTAAGACCCCCGGGGGGGCAGGGCGAGCCTCCAAAGGGTCCTAGGATGTGTTCCATAAGATGGACCTCTCCATAAGGCTCATCAATTTTTAGGAGAAAACAAATTATTTTTTTCCTGTTTTCTTCTCCTAAAAATTTGGTGCGTCTTGTGGAAAGGTGCATCTTATGGAGCGAAAAATATGGTAAATGACGCATCCCAAATTCCGCACCGGTTAACTTCAAACTACAGTGGTGCCTCACTTAACAGGTGCTCCGTTTAGCTACGAAACCACACAGCGACGAATTTTTGCGATCGCAAAAGCGATCGCTTTGCGCATCCCAAACTCCGCACCGGTTAACTTCAAACTACAGTGGTGCCTCACTTAACAGGTGCTCCGTTTAGCTACAAAACCACATAGCGACGAATGTTTGCGATCACAAAAGCGATCGCTTTGCGATGTTCTCTATGGGTGAATTTCGCTTACCGATCATCACAAAGCAATTCTTTAACAGCTGATTGGCGGTTTCAAAATGGCCACCCGCTGTTTTCTGGGGACGGATTCCTCGCTTTAGAGGCACCGAAAATGGCGGCCGCATGGAGGATTACAAAACCACATAGCGACGAATGTTTGCGATCACAAAAGCGATCGCTTTGCGATGTTCTCTATGGGTGAATTTCGCTTACCGATCATCACAAAGCAATTCTTTAACAGCTGATTGGCGGTTTCAAAATGGCCACCCGCTGTTTTCTGGGGACGGATTCCTCGCTTTAGAGGCACCGAAAATGGCGGCCGCATGGAGGATTTTCGCTTTAAGGTGAGTTTTAAGCCCATAGGAACGCATTGAAGGGGTTTCAATGCATTTCTATGGGCTTTTTAAAATCGCATAGCGACGAAATCGCTTAGCAGCGATTTTTGCTGCACGGATTAACATTGCTATGCGAGGCATCACTGTACTCTTCCTGAACATGCATTCTGCAGAGCCAGCTCTCTGCAATTGACTGCATTGGGGACAGAAGAGAAAGCAGGAGCATTTTCAAAGCTGCCACAGAAAGGGGAACCGAGTAAAGTTTAAGTAAGCTCTGAGATGCTTACAAACTTTACCCAAATTTAAATCCTTGGCAGAGAACTGAACCGAAGCAAACCATTCACAAGCTACTTCCTGAGAGATAAACACTTGCGTTAGCTATTAATCAACTAACTAAGATAACTGTCTCTCAACCAGAAATAAAAAAAGTCAAGTCTATGCTTGCAGGCAAATCTGTAGAAACAAAATAAATTAAACAATGTAATATTCTCTCTCTTCCCACCCCGGCCCATAATCGCCACCGTATCAGCTCTCACAATAGCTTCACCTTCATCCTTCTCCCATTCATCATGTAAATTTAATTTTCTAGCAGGTATTTAATCACTCCCTATCTGATGGAGGAAAAAGTAATTACTGCTGAGTAGCTTCATTGCTGCGTTGGTAACTTTGTCGTTCGAGGCCTATTTCAGCCATTTTTGACAAGGAGGATATAAATCAGGAGGGGCAGGCCGGGCGGCTACAGCGGCCAACGTTTCGCACCCGAGACTCTTTGGGGGTCACACAGAATGCCAACAATAGGGAAAGTGTGGAATATAAAACCAGAAGAGGCCCACAAGTCAAATGTTGGAATTTGGTGGTGTTCAACGGCCCAAGAGGGCCCCTGTGATCCGTTTTGAAGGTGAATTACTACCCCAGGAGTTGCGATTCATTGGGGGGGCAGATTTGAAAGACAGGGCTGAAGGATGATGCAAGCAACCCACGGGGGCTGCACTATGCCCACTGTGATATATACCAAGATTTTAAAATTGGTTGCGAGCAAATTAGTTCAACCTTGACTCAAATCCTATTACAGTGGTGCCCCGCATGATGACAATAATCCATTCCGTTAAAATCTCTGTACAGCAAAATCATCGTAATGTGGAAAAAAACCCCACTGGAATGCATTCCAGTGGGAAAATACCTCATTGTCCAGCGAAGATCGCCCATAGAGAATCGCCGATCAGCGATTTCGTCGTTCAGCGGGGTAAGCGGCTAGCGGGGCACCACTGTACTTACGTAGCATATGAGAGCAAGCCCACTGGATGTGGAGATTGGATGAGTCAATTCCTCCACAAATTCCATTGACTCAATGGGCCTTCTTCCAGATGTGACTTACTACGCTATGCAACAGGACTGAAGCCACAACCTTTTGGAAATAAGTTATACCGTATTTTTCGCTCCATAAGACGCACCTTTCCATAAAACGCACCAATTTTTTAGGAGAAGAAAACAGGAAAATATAATCTGTTTTCTTCGCTCCATAAGACACACAGACTTTCCACCTCCCTGTTTTGTGGGGAAAAAGTGCGTCTTATGGTGCCTCTACGCTATGCAACAGGACTTATTTCCAACCTTTTGGAAGTAAGTTATATTTTGAATGGCAAACATAAATGGCATCCTTTGAGTAACAGGGAGAGGTGGATAAGAACACACAAGAAAAAGAAATTTCCACACGTCTGCTCCAGGAAATGGAGCCTCCCGCTTATTAATCCTCTTAGCCCCTTTAGAGATGACTATTTCACTTAAGAGGAATGAGGGGAAGGGATTTATGCATTAAACCAGGAGAAGACCATAGGAGGTGCTTCTTCCCCAAGCCAGTATTCCGATGTTTAAAGCCTAGCATACAAACGGGAATAGGGAAATACCCCTTCCCGTTCCCTTTCCACCACCCAAATCTCCCCTCAGAAGGCAACACTTTTAATTTTTGAGAAGGGTGCCGGGGGGGACCAGACACAGCACCCAAACCTGCCCTCCCCCCCCCGGACGGCCATCACTCTCCGCCTCACGAATGAACGAAGGTGCTCCATTAAACCACAGTGGCAAAGAGCTGCTGATAAACCTATCATCTTCAAATCCTTTCAAATAAATGTTCCGCTTCATTTCCATATCTTGCTCTCGGCTCAGCTCCTGGAGGCAAACCTAGAAACAAATCTTGGTGGAGATAGCTGCATTTTAATTTGTAAAGAACCCTGGAGTACCAGAGGGAGGGGAAGATACTCAAAGATACTCGCCCTCCATGCTTCCTCCCATCTCCCCTTTGCTTTGGGATTACTACAACGAAGGACGGGAGGAAAAGCGCCGCAAGACCGATCTCTCTCTCTCTGCCTTACCTGGAGAAGGGGAGTGTGGACGTGCGACACCACCTGGGGCAGCCTCCGCCACTCACGAATCGCCAAGCCACTGGCCATCTCCACCAGGCGCTCAATGAAGTTCAGCTGTTGTTCTTCAGGATGGCAGATGGCCAAGTAGCCTCGGTACATATTGACCTTCCACGCCATCTCTTTGGGGCAACTCAGCTCCACCTTGGAGGCAAACAGGTTCCGGTTAATTAAGAGACACCACTTCCAACACTAAATTTTTTTAACAAAAGAAAGGGCAACCGGGTTCACAAGTCATGGGAAGACACCCCTAACTTGTTTCCCAAAGATTCAAGTCATAAGACAGGAGATTTCAACTAAACATTAGAGATAATGCTATACAGTGGTGCCTCGCTTGACGATTACCTCGTTAGACAAGGAAACTGCTTGACGATTAGTTTTTTGTGATCGCTATTGCGATTGCTAAGCGATGATTCAATGGTTTTTTTCCGTTTTACGACAATCGGTTCCTTGCTTCGGGAACTGATTTTTCACTTAACGACGATCAAAAACAGCTGATCGTTGGGTTTCAAAATGGCCGCCCGCTGTGCTTTAGGATGGATTCCTCGAATTACAGGCATCGGAAAATGTCCACCCTATGGAGGATCTTCGCTGGACACTGAGGTATTTCGCCCATTGGAATGCATTGAACCGGTTTTCAATGCATTTCAATAGGCTTGTCGTTTCGCTTGACAAAGATTTTGCTTAACAGCGATTTGAACGGAACGAATTATCCTCGTCAAGCGAGGCACCACTGTAATGGTAAGAGCTGGTCAACAGTGGAGTGAACTGCCTTTGAAGATGGTGGTCCTACATTCATGGAGGTTTTAAACCCATCAGTCAAGGATGTGTTAGCTGAAGATTCCCTTCAATAGGCTTGTCGTTTCGCTTGACAAAGATTTTGCTTAACAGCGATTTGAACGGAACGAATTATCCTCGTCAAGCGAGGCACCACTGTAATGGTAAGAGCTGGTCAACAGTGGAGTGAACTGCCTTTGAAGATGGTGGTCCTACATTCATGGAGGTTTTAAACCCATCAGTCAAGGATGTGTTAGCTGAAGATTCCCTACATGGGCAGAAGAGCCGGTCAACAGTGGAGTGGACTGTCTTTGAAGATGGTGGTCCTATATTCACTGGAGGTTTTAAACCCATCGGTCAAGGATGTGTTAGCTGAAGATTCCCTACGTGGGCAGGGGGTTGGATGTCGTGATCCTTGGAGTCTGTTCCAGCTCTACAGTTCTTATGATTCTGTGAAGGGAAACTCTGCTTTGTGCTGACTGTAATGAAGAACGTGATTTAGAACCACTTGTTCACTTTTATCCTCCATGTGCTCAGAACTCAGTGATGGACATCTACTATCCGGGCTGCAACTTACCTCGTAAGGGAGAGCAACAGCTCCAAATTATGACTTGCTAATGGGCTAGCAACTAATTACACCTAACACCAATGGTGGACTGAAAAACCAGTCCAATCCTCCTCCCATCAAGCCAATATAGATTTGCGGGTAGGATGAAGTTCGGGGACGGAGAGCCTAGATCCAAATGCTAGTCCCAACAACTAATTTAACTGCTGAATAACAAGCCAACATTTCTGTAAAACTCCACCGATTTAATGGGTCTTCTCTAATTGAGTCTAGCATTCGGATATTGGCCATTAAAGAAGATCTTGGTTGCACAGTCCCAGGGCACCCCCAGAAGAAGGGAATGGGAAAACACCTCTGAATATTCTGAAAAACCATGAAAACGATTGCCATAAGTCCAAATTAATTTAATGGCACATAATGATGATGAACGACACAAACCCTGGATTGTACGCTATGGCTGAATTCCATGTGTGTATACACCCGTGCTATGAAGATATACACCACATAATTTATCAGATTTACCTGTTTACTGAGATTTCAAGATACCCTTTAAATAACAGTCCTCATAGCCATATTTTTTTTTTCATTAAACATCTTGGACAAGCTTAACCTAAAACAGAAGTCTGACATGCTGGGCTTACTGCTTTTAATTAGTTTAGATATTCCTGGACCTTGTTTTGGGGAAGAAAAACCACCCAATGCAGCAGACAAAAAGAGCCAACAATTACGGTTACTAAAAGACCTTTTCCCGTGCATCAGCTGAGTGGAAACTGAGGTTATACAAGAAAACAACAAAGACTGAAGTGACCCCCTTTCAGACGGAGAGCTCTGCTACAGTGGATTAACAATCAACTAAGTCCCTGGATGCAATTTTGTAGATAAGATAGCTTTTAGTGTTTTATCTGTTTATTCAACTGTATTTTAATCAGATTTATAGTTTGTTTTTAATGTATAACTTATATTTTTAATTCTACTCTCTTTAATACTGTGAGCCACTCTGGGTCCCTTTACTGGGAGAAAAGTGGACGGCCAGGCAATCAATCAATCAATCAATCAATCAATCAATCAATCAATCAATCAATCAATCAATCAATCAATCAATCAATCAATCAATCAAAAGTCTGAACTGTTTTAACACTTCAGAAGTGATAAATCCTAATCAATTGATGGGAACCTCTTATTATGGGAGGCACCTGACATTCACCACCCAGAAAATTTGATCCTCAATTTTAATTCAAACTTAAATAAAGCTAAAAGTTGATTCTTTCCAGAATCTCACATTTGCTAGCTTCTAATGTGGGATGAAAAGCAATGCCTGCTTCCTCGTCTATTCAACAACTCCCATTGTGGATATATATTTTATAACACTGTTTTTAAGCCTGAGCCAAGATGGAACCATGTATTAAACTTGATTTAAGCCTGAGCCAAGATGGAACCATGTATTAAACTTGTATTTCATTAGCTAGCTGGATAGCTCAGTGAGTTGGGTGTCTGGTGGTGGAACCAGAGGCTGGGAGTTTGCTTCCCCCACTGGGCCTCCTGGGAGTAGAACCAGTCTGTGTAGCCTTGGGCAAGCTCCACAGCCCTGGGGCTCCCCCTAGAGGAAGGGAATGAATGGTACCCTATTTCTGAGTATCCCCTACCTGGAAAACCCTGAAAGGGGTCACCATAAGTCAGAATTGACATGATGATGATGATGATGATGATGATGATGATGATGATGATGATGATGATGATGATGATGATGATGATGATGATGAACCCTATTCCATTATTTAAAGCAAATTCTTTTTTTACGACATAATTTGCAAGATCACAAAGCGCAACAGTAGTCTGGATGAATACAAATGTTTCCCAATGAACTGCTGGACAGTTCAGTGGTTTTAAGCATCCGGCTATGGAGCCAGAGGTTGGGAGTTCGAATCCCCACTGGCTCTCCAGGAGAGAGGCTGGATTCGATGATCTATACAGTCCCTTCCAGCTCTGCAGTTCAAAGCTTATTATATTATTGTCTCCTAAAATGGTCATCCAATGTTTTAATCCCTAAATGTTAATGAGATTTTAAAAAGCCTTCTTTGCCATGATTTGGGAACACTGGAATCAAACTGCTGGTCAATTTTTCTCTCTCTGTGTCCTGAGTTCTCTCTTTTAAAAGGAGCAGTCAAAAGCTACCCCCAAATGCTGTGTTTTATTCTAGGAGCTGCTCTGAATCACATTAATATACTGTATACCACTTTAATACACCTCTAGCAAAAGAGCATAGCTGCATAGCTACCACTCAGCCAAATATGCCCCTAACATCCTTGTATTTATGAATGCGGCTCCTGGCACATTTAAAATAAAACCTCGACAAACGTGACAAAAATCCCAGCAACTGGATTTGCAGCTCCACTATTTTCCTTATAGTTCATTCGTCAAGGCGTCGTTATTGAAAAATCTCTGGTACAAACCGCCACTCGCCAGAGCGCCTCCCTGCCGTCACAGGTGACGGTCACGTCCGTTCAGCCTGCAAGCCTTTGCCAGGAGAAGCTGTCAGACGCAATCAATTCACTTGGCTGCAACTCAGGGCTTCAACGCTACCCCATAATTTATTCTTTATTACACAGCCCCAGGAAGACCAGGAGAGAAAGGGGGGGGGATCCTCCCACCCCCCGATAAACGTGCACACGCACATGCTTATTATAAAATGATCACATAATTATGTAAAGGATCGGGCTCCCTTAGGTAGGGCACAGGACTGAGGTACAGAGCTTTAAAATTCCAAACAAATAGGAATTTGCAAGACAAGGTTTTTTTTATTTTGTCGCTCTTCAAGGAAGGCGTCTAGGAGGTGAGATGGGGAGGGCTGTATTATTTGCCCCCAAGCAGCCCATGGCTCACAGAGGCTTGATGAAGTTCCTGTTTATTTTTTGTATACAGTGGTGCCTCGCTTTACGATTGCCCCGCATTGCGACGAAACTGCTTAACGACGATCTTTTGCGATCGCAACTGCGATCGCAAAATGATGGTCTGAATGGGGGAATTTCGCTTTGTGATGATCGGTTCCCTGCTTCAGGAACCGATTATTCGCAAAACAATGATTTTTAAACAGCTGATTGTTGGTATAAAAATGGCCACCAGGTAACTAAAATGGCTCCCCACTGTGTTTAGGGATGGATTCCTTGCTATACAGGCAGCGAAAATGGCCGCCGTATGGAGGATCTTTGCTGGACGGTGAGTTTTTGCCCCACTGGAACGCACTGAACAGGTTTCAATGCATTTCAATGGGGTTTTTATTTTCATTTTACGATGTTTTCGCTTAACGGCGATTTTCCTGGAGCGGATTATCGTCGTTAAGTGAGGCACCACTGTACCTACGTACAAAACCCTCCAAAATCCCCTTTCTCTCCTGCTGCATCTTAATATTTTACATCTTGGTTTTTTACATATTTGTTGGTTTTATTGTTTTTAAATTTTGTAATGCTGCCCGGAGTAGACCCAGTCTAGATGGGCGGGGTATACATCTAATAAAATAAATAAAAAATAAATTAAATGCACTGCACAATGGGGGAGTGGTAGCATTTAAAAGGCGGATTTCCTTTTTAAAACCAGGTCCAAGCTACCCACACCTCTCATTTACCTGCAGCGCTGTGCCATGAAGGTGAAGAGGAGGCGTCCTGTTTTAAAAGGAAAACACCGCTTTGAAAGATTCCACTTTTGTGGGCTACAAACCCCCCAAAAATCACGCAGGGCAGGGGTGAGCACTGGCAAGGGGGCCCTTACTGCCCCCCCAAAGACCAGCCTCTCTCTACATAAGAGGTGGCAATCCACACAATCAAACCTCAGTTTTTAAGGACACACACACACAAAATTACTTTTCCTGACAACAGTCTGAAGTTTCGATCCCCCATTAAAAAATTCAGAAAGGCTCTTCTCTTGAAACCCTTTTTATCATGAGGTGTTTACTTCAATCAGCTCTTTTCACAGCTGAATGAGAAAGATAGCCGGCGTGATTCATAGGCTTAGTCAAGCTTTTATTATTATTTTTATTATTATTAATCCAAAATCGTTCTTCGGGAATATAACCAACACTAAAGACACAGAATTGTTTTGACCTCCTTTGTCAGTTATATACTGTATATATGCAGTAATGCGGCACTGTCAGTTAAGAGTCTCACTTATTTCTCACCAAAAACTTAGCTACTTATCCAGAAAAAAAATGTTTTGGAACTGATTTTAATGGAACAGCTACACAGACCTAAATGTAGTCCCCAGCATCCCTTCAATCACAAAAGACTAAATATATATTTTGAAATCATTGTGCACCTTCTGGGACTCTCTCTGTGTGTGCAATTCTGCTACATTTTGATGGCTTCTCTTCTCCTCTGCCCCCATTACTTTTTTTAAAATAAACATGTGCAGATAAAGTGCACACACAAACACGTAAGCGAGCCCTGTGACACAGTGGTTAAACTGCAATACTACAGTCAAAATTTTGCTCATGGCCTGAGTTTGATCCTCATCGGATCAGGTAGCCTGACTCCGACTTTCATTCTTCTGAGGTTGGTAAGCTGAGAACCCAGCTCAAATGATGGTTTAAATGGAATTTTTTTCGTTTAACTATGATCGGTTCCCTGCTTCGGGAACCGAATTTTGCTTTACGATGATCAGCAAACAGCTGATCGCCGGGTTTCAAAATGGCCACCGGCTGAAGAAAATCCCCCCCCCCCCGCTGTTTTCTAGGACGGATTCCTCGCTTTACAGGCACCGAAAATGGCCGCCTTTTGGAGAATCTTCGCTGGACAAGCAGGTATTCCACCCATTGGAATGCACTGAATGGTTTTCAATGTGTTTCAATGGGGTTTTTAAATTTTGTTTGACTATGTTTTTACTCTACAGCGATTTCGCTGGAACGAATTAACCTCGTCAAGCGAGGCACCACTGTACTTCAATATCACTGAGTGATTTATAATTTCCATTTAACATATTTGGATGGAAATAAGACTTTCACATTACCCTGGGGGCTTGAGTGATTTTTTTAAAAAAACCTTTTAGACAACATCTCCCGGAATCCACCAGCCAGTATCTCAGTGGCTATAATGAGAGAGGAATTTGCAAAAAATTTGCAAAAAATGCAGATTCTCAGTAACCTAGTTTGTCTTCACTGAGGTTAGCAAAATTGGAGTTCATCTCCTCCTCTTGTTCCTCTGACTGCAACTCCTGATGCCTCAGGGACTGCAGCGATTCTGTTATGCTTTCATTCCTTCCCTTTTGGGAAAAAAAATTCCCCGAGAGCTGGCTGGCCTCCCCAGACAAAGGACAATGAGCGATTAACAGCGGAGTGACTTGCCTGAGCTAAATTTGCAGACGCTCAATCAGCATATTCTTTCCCTGGAAGAAACCACTATAAACATCAGCAACAAAAACCTGAGAGTCCCTCAGGAATACACTTTTATGGCCAGGAAAGCCAGCTGGCTGCCTCCCTTCACGAGTAATTCCAGCCACACACACCATAAACACCCAGTTTTCACCGGATAAGCCTTTGCAGGGTTGCCTCAGAAGGACTGGACTCTGTATTATCAAGGTTGAAAGAAGACTGCCCGGTTTACCACCACAAAAGACACTCACCTGCACCAGGGCTTCTTTCATGGCTGTCCAGTTGGAGACCCGCCATGCACATTCCAGCACGAGGTAGGGGTTGATATGGCCCTTTGACTGGCCGTACTCGGTCAGCGCTTCCCACTGGTTTAACTCTTTAGAGCACCTTGGGAAAAGAAAATATAACAGCAACCCCATTGGTTAGGGAAATGCAACTTTAAGTATTTCAGGGGTTTAGGTATTTAGCTGTGGAGCCAGAGGTTGGGAGTTCGATTCCCCTCTTTGACAGGAGCAGCACACGATGATCCAGAAGGTCCCTTCCAGCTCTGCCATTCTAAGATTAGTATTATAATATTATTACTGTATTTTTCTGTGTTTAAGACGCCCCATGTATAAGACACCCCCTACTTTTCTAATTCGAACTTAAGAAATCTAAGTGGGGCTTAGCAAGTGTAGGGGGAAAGGGATCAAAGTGCTGCAGGATCACTTTGATCCCTGCTTTCCCCTCCACTTGTTTTTGTTCTCTCCTCAGATCGCTTTGATCCCTGCTTTTCCCCCCACTTTTCTAATCCAAACTTAAGAAATCTAAGTGGGGCTTCGCAAGTATAGGGGGAAAGGGATCAAAGTGCTGCAGGATCGCTTTGATCCCTGCTTTCCCTTCCACTTGTTTTTGTTCTCTCCACAGCCTACTTCTGTGTATAAGACGACCCTCAATTTTTCGCCTAAAGATTTTAGACAAATGTATAGTCTTATACATGGAAAAATGTGGTATTATTCCTTACAGTCAAACACACAAAGGCTGGCTGTTGCAGCCAAATTCTACTTGACGCCTTTCACATGGTTTAAAAAAAGAAACAAACAAACTCTCCCGGCATGCCAGTGTGGGGCAAATTTTGATTTATTGATTTCTTTAAATAGCTTTGGGAAATTTAAGACTCTGTAAACTATATATATTAGTCCTGAAATGGAAGCATGCACTTACTTTGAAAGGGAAATAGGAAGTTATCCTAAAGCTGTACGCTAAATTTTAAAGCAGCACACAGTCCAGAATGAACAATAAAAGAACAACAGTCTAGTCTGAGAAGGGCTTTTAAATGGATCATTGTGCCTTGTTGCTTTCAAATGTCTTCTTGCTGTTGATTTTTTATTACCATTTTTAGTGTCACATATTGTTTGATTCCTTTTAAATATCTGTAAATGCACTGTGTTTAACTTTCAAATATTGTCTTTTAATGATGTGAGCTGCCTGGGGGTTGGAGGAGAAAGGCACAGTAAAAAAATATTTTAAATACATAAATTATTTGTAAGCTTCCTAGAGTAGTGCTTGGAACTAAATCAGGCAGTATATAAGCAAACTGAAACAAAGTACAAAAGTTTGACTTGAAGCTTTACCAAGCAAAAAGAACGGGATGAGATTTCTTCCTTTACCAGTTTTAATCGGAACTAGAGATGGGTATGAACCACCAGTTTGTGCTTGTTCGCTTCTCAGCTGGTGTACAGCACTTCAAAGCACCACCTCCTCCTGTGGACATCCACTCAGAGGCAGTACCTGGAGGAGGCGGGGTAGAGAAACCAGGGTTTTGCCTCTGAGGGGCTGCCTGCCAGAGGAGGCGAGGCTGGGAAGAATCAAACTCCTGTTCAGCTGAGAAATGAGCCACTGTTTCAGCAGTTTGTGCCCATCTCTAATCTGAACTACTGTATTTTTCCGTGTATAAGATGCCCCCATGTATAAGACACCCCCCACTTTTCTAACCCAAAATTAAGAAATCTAAGTGGGGCTTAGCAAGTGGAGGGGAAAAGGGATCAAAGCGCTGCAGGATTGCTTTGATCCCTGCTTTCTCCCATGGGGCTTAGCAAAAGGAGGGGGGAAAGGATCAAAGCAATCCCGCAACTGCATGATCATTTTGATCCCTTTCCCCCTTATAGAGCCACAGGATTGCTTTTGATTCTTTCTCCCCTCGTTTTGATAAAACCCATGGGACTTAGCAAGCAGAGGGGAAAGCAGGGATCAAAGTGATCATGCAGTGCTTTGATCCCTGCTTTACTTTTGCTAAGGCTTAGCAAGTGGAGGGGAAAGCAGGGATCAAAGCCCTGCAAGAACAATTTGATCCCTGCTTTCTGCTCCACTTGCTTTTGTATTCTCCTCAGATTACTTCCATGTATAAGATGAGCCTCAATTTTAGTCTAAATTTTTTTAGACAAAAGTATAGTCTTATACACGGAAAATATGTTAATTTTTTTTCTGCTGATGTCTGCTCCCTAACAGCTTGAATCCAGAATCCAGTGGTATCTGAGCCACTGCTTTTTTCTGCCTATGGCTCCGCCCACCACTACAACGTCAACGCAATAACTTCTTCCGAAATTGAATTTAGGGTGAAAAGAAGGCTCTCCCACTTTGATTTCGCATCCCCCAAACTTAAGAGGACTGAACTGAATTAATTCACCTACCGGATCCAGTGGTCCTCCCAGAGCTGATACTCTGGGAAAATGGCTGGAGAAGCGTTACTTCTCTCATGTTCTTTCTTTGCTTTCTCCATTGCTTTTTCGTAGGTTTCCTGAGCCTTTAAGAAATGGAAGGACACTTCTTTGGTCACTCAGTCATACAAAAAGAGACGGGCGCTTAAACAGATGCTTTACCAGTCATTCCATACCTTGGAGCTGGGGATCAGGGGTGGGTAAAATGTGCCCGTGGGCTACATCTGCCCCTGACCACCACAGATGAAAATGCACACCCCACTGGCATCCCTCCCCACTGGATTTGCACATCTGGGTACCAGCCAGCCCAACAACCAGGTATTGGGCTTTCTTGTAATAGTGAACTATTGGTTCACTAACTGCTGTTAGTGAACTAACATGCCTAAAGGCAGGCAGATTGGCCTGGTTATCCCAGTCACACAGCACATTTACATCCTTCTGTCAAAATCCTTGTTCTTGTTGCAGTTCTGATTGTTCCACTGACCATGCTGCCCAGAGGATTCTGACACCCATAACTGGAAAAGTAACTTTTTCCAGGCTCTGGACATGCACAGAGCAATGGAGGGGTGTTTGGAGTGAACAAGCCAGAGCAATGCGATAGCCCCACAACAAGCTGCTGCTGAAGGCAATAGGAGGAAAGACTGAGAGAACTGGGCATGTTTAGTCTTGAGAAAAGAAGACTGAGGGGAGGCAGGACAGCTCTTTTCAAATACTTGAAAGGTAGTTAAATATAGGAGAGGCAGGATCTGTTCTTGATCATCCCAAAGTGCAGGACGCGTGCAGGATTAAAGTTGAATATCAGGAAAAACTTAACTGTTAGAGCAGTATGACAATGGAACTAATTACTTCTGGAGGTGGTGAACGCTCCAACACTGGAGGCATTCAAGAAAAAAATTGGACCACCACCTGTCAGATCTGCTTTGATTTGGAGCCCTGCCTTGATGCAATGCGATAAATCGTTAAACGGTGCGCTCGTTATGCGAGGCACCACTGTACTTGAAAGGTAGTTAAATATAGGAGAGGCAGGATCTGCTCTTGATCATCCCAAAGTGCAGGACGCGTAGTAATGGGCTCAAGCGACACGAAGCCAGATTAAAGTTGAATATCAGGAAAAACTTCTTAACTGTTAGAGCAGTATGACAATGGAACTAATTACCTCTGGAGGTGGTGAACGCTCCAACACTGGAGGCCTTCAAGAGAAAATTGGACCACCACCTGTCAGATCTGCTTTGATTTGGAGCCCTGCCTTGAGCAGGAGGTTGGACTGGATGGCCTTATCAGCCCCTTCCAACTCCATGATTCTATGGTATAGACAGCCCTGGTTGTTGGAGGTGCGGAGAGCATCTCCCAACAGATAGATCATGTCAAGAAGCCAGGATCTTGTACATCTTCCTTCCCGTTGAACTGCTGGTGGATCGGGCCAAAGAAGAATCGGAAGCAAGAAAATAGACAGCCCTGGTTGTTGGAGGTGCAGAGAGCATCTCCCAACAGACAGATCATGTCAAGAAGCCAGGATCTTGTACATCTTCCGAAGAAGAATCGGAAGCAAGAAACAAACCTTCTCAATTTAAAATTATGTTTCTGATGGGCAAAAGGTGACCGTCTGAGCCCAAACACCTAAGGCGCACATCCTGGAAGGGTTAAAATACCTTCAAGCTTGTTTGGTGCATTCCACTTCAGTGGCAGTTAAGGACCACACCATCATCGGTCAGATTGATATTCAAACATTGCCCGTGTGTGTGTGTGTGTGTGTGCAAAGGCCCCTAAGCTGTAACAAGCTACTTACATTGTTAAGTGCAAACAGTATAGAACACAGCAGAAATAATCCCAGGGGCTTCTGGTGAGCATCTAAGCTTGCAAAAAAGCCTTTAATTAAATTTGAGGATGCCCTGCTCAGATGTCAGCCGGGACCGGGAACAGGCATCATCAAGGTTACCAGCATCGGACAGAAGAGTGCTTCTTTTCCCAGCGCTCCCCAAATTTATATGCCTCATTTCAGTCTAATATACTACCTGTTCGAAGAAGCCGTGCTGCTCGTAAGCTATAGCCGTTGCTGTCTCTGGGAATTTACAACGCTTCTGCCACAAGCCGGCCCACATGTCCTCCTCCTGTAACAAGGCGTACAGCTCGGCCAGCGAATCGAGAATTTCCTGCGCAAGAGGAGGAGGAACGGGAGAAATAGAACACAATGTGATATTCCAGCGGCACAAAACCCCCCCGGGAACGGCAAAGGACGAAAATCGGCAACAAACATTTCGTGCAGTAAGGCGGCAATGTGGAAAGGTCAGAACTAGCCGGCTGGAAAGCTCCATGGTTTAGGTCTCTGGCTGCAAGAGCCAGAGGTTGGGAGTTCGCTTCCCGAGAGAAGAGCCAACCGGTGTAGCCTTGGGCCAGCTGCACCGTCCCAAGGTTGCCCCCTAGAGGAAGGGAATGGGAAACCACTTCTGAGTATTCTCTACCTGGAAAAACCTGAAAACGGTCATAGTAAGTCGGAACTGACTCATCAACACATTATTATTATTCAGAACTGACTCATCAACACATTATTATTATTATTAGGATTATTTTGGGGGTCAGTTTACCCAAGCTTGTGGGCCAGGATCTAACCATGTATTTCCACTGGACTGCACTGATTCTTGTACAGCAGTCTGTTTTGCCCTCTTCTGCACCTTGCACGCCCTACTCTGGAGGGCTGGGAAGCCTTTTGGAGCAGGCTTTAGGGGCCATGGAGGGAGGCTGCTGGAAAAGAGGAGCTGCCACCTGCAATTCCACAAACAATGGATTTTAAAGGACGCTACTGGATTTTGGCCTGTTTTCTGGAGGTGACGTCCCGGAGCCTGCGTGGCAAGACCTTCCCCAAGGGAATTCCTTACGGAATTCCTGGAACAACAATAAATATCTTTTATTTACAGTCACATCAACCAAAAAATAAAGATATATTTTTTTAAAAAAAGGAACAAATTATGGAGGTAGGGCAGAGAAAATGAAACAATGATAGTTCTTTGGGGAAACCGATGAAAACTGAGTCCTATTCACCACTTCTGAATTAAATTTTAAAAACTAATGATCGGTTAACTTGGTTATACACCATCCGACGACATTTAGAAACTGTCGCATTTGTTCAGAAATAAAAACATTGGCTCAGACCCAAACAACTAATAATAAAATCTCCTGGGCTCCAACTGGAGATCATTTTTTATTTTAGAAGAGAGCAAAGTCTAAAATTCAACCTTTATCGGAGCACTAACATATATATGTGAAAAAGCAAGCCTTCAAATCGTGCGGGACTATTCATCAGGATGGCACAGCAGAGCTGGAGTTTGGAAGAGAAACAGAAAAAAATCTAAACAAAAAATAAAATTTTAAAAAAATAATCCCATCTAGACAATGAAGCTCCAGCCTCTCTCTCAACATATAAAGAGATGTTAATCACCCAATAAACTTTCCATTATTGTTTTGCTTTTTCGGAACTATATGGCTTCCTCGGAGCAAATGCGCTCAAAGGGTGGTGAGTTACACATTGCCTGGTCCCCCAATAAAAACTTCGACAGACAATGCTTAAGAGATAGTTTATACCTCCAAAAAACTGTGGGAGTAATAACTTAGCTGCGTGCAAAACCTTTTGTAAATCTGCCCTCCACAGCCTTCCGAAAGGAGACAGTTCTACTGTACCAAAGAAACCACATTTCTCGATTTAGAAACAACCAAGAATCTTAAGAGACAGACAGCTATCAGAAACAGAATGGGGCATTAGAGTGACCTACAGCTGTACCAGCCTTTCCCACACTGTTGCTCTCAAGACTGGCCAGCCTACAACTTTGACCCTAACTGGGGAGGCTGAGCGACACTACAGTGCTGCCTCACTTGACGAGGATAATCTGTGCCGTTGAAATCGCTGTTAAGCGAAATCCTCATCAAGCGAAATTAAAAAGCCCATTAGAATGCATTAGAAACCGGCTAATACGTTCTAATGGACGAAATACCTCATCGTAAAGCGAAGATCCTCCATAGGGCGGCCATTTTCCAGTGCCTGTCTTGCGAAAAATGCCTCCTAAAAACAGCGGGGAGGGGAATTTTGAGAGCCAACGGCTATTTTGAAAACCACCAATCAGCTGTTGAAAAAACATCATTTAGCGAAAAATCGGTTCCCGAAGCAGGGAACCGATCATCGCTAAGCAAAAAAAACCCCATTCAAACATCGCAAAAACATCATCGTGAAGAGGATTCATCGTTAAAAGGGGATAATCGTCAAGCGGGGCACGACTGTACTGTCATTCATAAACTTCACAAGGACCTGATTTCATTAAGGCTTACAAACAGACCAAACTCGTCCAATACGTCTAGTCAGCAGACACTTTGGTGGGATCGTTGTACCCAAAAGGCATTAGAGGCTGACATGCCAGGGCCCACCTCCACAGTATATTGACAGCGTGGCATAAGAGGCATGCAGGAAGAGAAGAGGAAACTAAACTGGAGGCTCATACAAGTCCCACGTTATCACAGCTCTCTCACACAAACCCATAGCTTGTCTCCTGCTTACTAGACAGGCGCCTAACTAGCCCCAAGTAGAACAGACTCATTGAATCAATGAGATTTATGTAAGCACTGACATATCAGCAGCTCATTCTGTGCCCAGGACTCAACTGTGATTTACTACATGGGGGGCACCAACTGAAACATGGGGAAGCTGCTGTTTTGAGAGAGAGAGGCCCATTGCTCACGGGTCATGTGCCCCATCATGTGACTTAACAAGCAACAGGCATTCTCTATGAACAGCTGCTTGCTGTTGTGACTGACAACCCATGCACAATTGTTGTTGTTTAGTCGTTAAGTCATGTCCAACTCTTCGTGACCCCATGGACCAGAGCACGCCAGGCCCTCCTGTCTTCCACTGCCTCCTGGAGTTGGGTCAAATTCAGGTTGGTTGTTTCGATGACACTGTCCAACCATGCACAATAAGTATCAGTAAAATTCTGGGATATCTGTAAGTCTTCGGTACAAAGTCCCTTTTTTCCCCAGAAAAAAAGGGAGGGG